AAAAGACATTAACCCTTATTATTATAATAATTGAGTTGATGTCATATAATTGTAACCAACTGTTCACAAGTTGTTAAATCCCCAATCATTTTGATTGTATATAAGGTCATCTCCAATGGTAGTTTAATGGAGAGTTGAATGGGAGTTTAATTCCATTAAACTCAAAATCCTCATTGTGAGTTAATGACATGGCACTCAATAGAATGGGGAGTTCAATCCCCATTGATCTTCACACTCTCTCTCCTCACACACACATATATAAATGATGTGGCAATCCATTAAATTGTATTGGGTTTAATAGAGTGTAGAGTTTAATAGATAAAATTGTATTGTGAGTGGCATGTACATGTGGCAATCCATTGAACTTATTTGAGTTCAATGCATTGAAGATGGCCTAATAACAAAATAAACATCTAATGTGATTTCAATTATACTATTGGAGAAGATTCAAAAGAATGACATGGCATCCTACATGGTGCTTAGTTGGCAAAATTGTTCAAATTGTCTCTAGATGGCTCTAAAATGGTCGGCATCCTGTTTAGTAATTTTAACTTACTTAATAGACAAAAAAGAATAAATTAATACAATGTGTTTTTCTTTATTTGTTTTCATTGAGGTTAAATTTCGGGTAAGTGAGAAAAATGATTTTTTTTAATGGTAAAAAATGTAATAAGAGTTTAATCTTTTATATAAAATGGTAATGTTGCTAAAATGATGTGATGGTGAAACTACATTATTTTTTTTCTTCATTTTGCTCTTTATCATTTTATTATAGATGTGAAATTTAGTTTGTAATCTTTTGAATTTACCCTAATATATATACACTAATGTGGAGCGATTGAGACACAATTTTTCAGGATAGTTTCTTCGCTAGCTTTGCACTTGGTTGGGTGATCACAAATGGAGCAGGACTTGCATCATACCCAATTGACACTGTTCGTAGAAGAATGATGATGACATCAGGTGAGGCAGTGAAGTACAAGGGCTCCATGGATGCACTCTCTCAGATTCTAAAGAACGAAGGTGCCAAGTCTCTCTTCAAGGGTGCTGGTGCCAACATTCTTCGTGCCATTGCTGGTGCTGGTGTGCTTTCTGGTTATGACAAACTCCAGCTCATCATCTTTGGCAAGAAGTATGGATCTGGAGGTGCTTAATTAATTATCATGTCATTTCACAGCTACATGAATGGTGATGAAAAGTTTTAATTTCCTCAAGTTTTGAATAAGAATTTAGTTTTGGAAACCTTATTTGTAACACTCCTAAATTTTATTAGAACTTGAATACTAATTGCGATTGCAAATGCAATTACTATGTTTTAGGTGAATGATATAATACTTCTCGTTCTTTGGCATTACTCCACTAAACATTCTTATCGGCTTCATCTGCTATCTCAATATATATCTCATCCGTTTCTTATATGTCCAGACCAAAACTAGATTTTATATGACTGGAAATTACACATAAGTCCATTTATTGGAAACTTTTCCTTGTGTCACACAAGTGGGTGTAGAAAACTTTTAGGGGTTTATAAGCTTCTTTCCCACTAGTCATATTAGACAAAATTATGTGTTTGCTTGCTGTGCGTTGTACGGAAGCAATGTATTTGGTGAATGGCGAATTAATGTGTAAAACATATACAGAGTATTTATCAAACATGTATCAACTGGATGAAAAGTTACATAGAATTTTTATAAAAGAAGTCTTATGTGGCTGAAGCTACACAAGACAAACATACAACGAACACCTTACTTATTTACATCAGTTTTGTATATATTTGCAAACGTTGACTTCTTCTTCAACGTCCAATATGGTTCCATAGAGTTGTCATTTCTTTCCTGTGTATGGGGTAAAGGAATTGTAGTGTATACTGTATCCACTATCTGTAATATCGACTATTTATTAGACGGACATACCATACATCAATGTGTTAGTTAAGAATAATTTTGTTAAAAAATATTTTTGTAACATTTTTTATTTAAAATTCGAGTGATACGTTTTTGGATTTTCATGAAAAACTGTTAAAACATGGGTTAAAATTTTGTAAAAATGAAAAGTTAGATGTGTCACATTTTTTAAAATCAAAGTTTTGAGGAAATTATGAAAACTATTTTTGACTTATTGATAGTTGTTGGCTAAATCTAGGTTGGTGAGGAGAAGATGAAAATCCACTTTTCAAAAAAAAATTGATTTATTAAGGTAATTAATTTTTGGATTTATTCACATATACGTAACTATTTTTTTTTATATATATCTAAGTAATAAACTTTTTGAAAATATTCACATATGACCATGATGACCAGCTGTAGTAGGTTAATGTCTTTTTAAACTTTTTTGTACACGTTTAGGTAACAAACTTTTGTTTGTACATATTTATGTAACTTTTTTTTGTACAACACCATTTTGGTAAATATCTTTTTAAATACACTACTTTGATAAAAATAAATAAATAAATAAAACCTCAAGATTTGACTGGAAAAAAACACATCGTCATTTTATAGAAGTAACTTTAATATGAAGGCCAAGATACTCGGGGGATCCGGATAGACTATAGGCCCTGTGAGGCGGTCCAGTCATGCCGAAGCCCGAAAAGCGGTCCAAATAGGTTGTATGCCATGCGAGACGATCCAGTCATGCTGAAGGCACCGCCATGATCGACTTCGACTAGCTTGACTGACTATAGCATTAATCGTAGATAGTAAGAGGTCGGCTAGTGCCAAGGCACCGCCATGTTGTGACCAAAAACAACCCCCAACATGTCGTGACCAATATATGTGCTCATAAATGGTCATACATATTGTTTTAACGAAATTTAACTGAATCTATTAATATTGCAAATATTATGATCGATTATTTTAATAAAAAAAATATAAGTTGATTTATCAGGATAATTTCTTTTTTTTTATTCATGTTTGGGTAACTTTTTTTTGTATATATTTAGGTAACGGATTTGTTGAAAGTGTTCACATATGATCATTATGATCAGATGTAACATGCTATAGCCGGTCAGAATGGTCATATGTGAACACTTTCAACACGTTTGTTACCTAGATGTGTAAAAAAAAAAAATAGTTACCCTATATGAACAAACTGAAAAGTTAATTATCTTAATAAGTCAATTTCCCAAAATAATATGAGGTGAGGAGGGCTAAAACTCTCTAACCTCCCAGAAGCTCACGAAGACAGAGCCTCCTACCAACGGGATAGCCACTAATTTTTGAAAGAAATGACATTTATTCTTTAAAAAGAGGAAAAAACATTAAAAAAAAAAAATACTATTCACACCAACACTTTAGTATAGTGAAATTTTGATTAGTTTTCTAAATGTGGTAAACCATTTTGAGACACATCTTGCTTAAGGAAGTATTCAAGATTCGACAATACATTGAAAGGAATGTAAGACTATATATCTAATATATATGGTAATTTAATAATATTTTATTATTTTTTTTCTTTATGATAATATTTATTTATTATCAATATTAAGTATTATGAATGTTTAATTATTATAGTTTTTATATTTAAGTTTTAATTATATAAATTTAAAATTATCATTATAAATTTGTAATATAAGACTATATTTAACGTGTATAAATTAGATTATAAGGTTTGTTGTGAGATTATTAGAGTTTAATACCACTTGTTTTAAAACAACATACATTTATATGCTTATTTTCAACTATATATCTAAATATTTTTTATATATTTTCTTAATGTAAAATACTATTAGTTTATCAATTTATCAATATCAAACACATCTGAGATATAGATGTACATTGATGATTATGGACAGGCCTCGAAACAATCTAAAATCCGGCTTTTTTAGGATTGGTTCGGAATGATCTAGAATTTTTTAGACCAGTCCTTTTCAATTTGGTCTTTTTGTTACCTTCTCAAACTTTTTCGGTTCGTTCTCACGGTCTTTGCATGTATGTTTCTCGGTTCGGTTTAAGGTTTTTCCTGTTCAATTTCAGTGTTTTGCGTCGGTCTTGAAACGATCTGATATTTTTTTGGAACTAGTTTCAGAACAGTCTGTTTTTCTCGAACCAGTAGTTACAGAAAAATCTCAAAACGGTACAAACTTATTTATTTATTTATCAAATCTCAATTTTTTTAGAAACCGAAAGATCAATCTTTCCATTCATGTATAATCTAAGGTTCCTAAAAATTATGTATATTGTAGCCCAACCCCAACTTGGCTCCATTTCACATTTTCACTTGTCCACCTAGAGGCTAGAGCCAAGACTAAGCTTGCACAAAAAAACGGTTTACGATCTGAACCGGTGCCGGTGGCTGAACCGAAAACCGGTTCACCCTTGAACCGGTCCACTGTTGAACCGATCCGATGTCGAACCGAACCACCGGTTTGTAGTAATTAGAACCTCTAGCCATTCGAACCAGTTTTGAACCGGTTTATACTAAAACGGTCTAGAAAACTGGTTTTGAACTAATTTTGAGCCGGTCTTACAAATTAGCTATGATATCCTAAGAAACAAAGCAACCATTGTAAAAAAGAAGCAATTCCGTCCGATTTTTTTTGAAATGGTTTACCGAATCGGTTTAGAAACCGGTTTGTACTGAATCAAACCGGTTTGTATGCGTTCGAATTATTTTTGTGGTGAACCGATTTTGACTTTGTTGATCAGAACCGAACCGATTTTTTGAACCGGTCCGGTTCAAAAAATAAACCGGTTTGTGCAAAGACTCTCACCATTTCACATTTTCACTTGTCCACTTAGAGCCAAGAATCTCATTTTCCGAGCAGACACAACGAACCCTGGTCTCTACATTTTTCCGACCATCAGATCACAAGTCTCTACGCATCCAACGGTGACAAACATACCATCTCGGATCTCAAACAAATCAAAATCATCACAAAATCATGTCATCCTCACTCCCACTCTTCTTCTCCTGAAAACTTGAGCCTTACTGAGGCCGGCTCAAAACCCAACATCACCGGAAAAAGCTCAAAAACATTGAGCTAATTTTTTCCTCGAAAAATCATGGGATTTACAATGGGTTTGAATCTACTCCTTCTAGTGGCCATGGTTGCCACCAATATCCTCTCCCTCTACCACCTCTCCACCACCATGATCTCCACTAAACCAATCACAAATCCTAACCCTCCTGTCCCTGATCACCTCCTCCGTCAACTTCAGACGATACGCGCCACCATAAATCATCTCACGCGCCTCCAACCTAATCCCTCTGTTCAGACCACCGCCTCCAACATCCCATCTGACCTCCTACTCTATACTCAGCTCTCACCCATTGCATCTGCCTGCCGCCACCACCCTGATCTTCTTCATCAGTACATGAATTACACCCCTTTCTCCGTTTGTCCCCAGCTGTCTTCCGCCGCCGCGGAACCCTTGATCCTTCGTGGATGTCATCCTCTCCCACGCCGGCGCTGCTTCTCTCCTACTCCTAGTAAACTACCTTCCTCCCTTCCCACAAACCCTTTCTCTCCGGTGCCGGAGAATGCCATTTTGTGGAGTAATTACAAGTGTAAAACCTTCGATTGTCTAAACCCAGATCTGGGTTTTGATTTGAAGAAAGAGAAATTAAAGTTTCTGAGCTACAAAACCGATCTCGATCTCCCAATTTCTCAACTAACCGACATCGTAAAGAAATCAAAGAACGTTCTCCGGATAGCTCTAGACATAGGCGGTGGTACAGGTACATTCGCTGCGCAAATGAAGCAAGAAAATGTGACAGTTATCACGACCACCATGAGCATCGGTGCACCCTATAACGAAGCTGCTGCCCTCCGGGGATTGATCCCGTTACATGTGCCATTGCAGCAGAGGTTACCGGTGTTCGATGGGGTTCTGGATCTGGTGCGGTGTGGCCGCGCCGTGAACAGGTGGATTCCGGCGCAATCATTGGAGTTTCTACTTTATGATGTGGATCGAGTGTTGAGAGGTGGTGGGTATCTTTGGATTGATCATTTTTTTAGTAAAAGTATCGATCTTGATAAGATTTTCAGCCCATTGATCGGAAAATTGGGGTATAAGAAGGTGAAATGGGCAGTAGGGAAGAAGATGGATACAAGTGGTGTGAAGAATGGAGAAGCTTATTTGACTGCTCTTTTACAAAAGCCAGTTTCAAGATGATGATGATATTGCTTCCTTTCTTTTTCGTTCTTCAGGTACCAATTTTGGAATTTATTGTTGTAATATTGTTAAATTGGGGCATATTGGAATTATAATTATATGATATTTGATGCAATTAGGTAAGAATTAAAGAGTAAAAAGGAAATTAGGAGTTCAAATTCAGGTTTTTCATGATCTTTTCTAGATAATATGGAATTGGTAACTTGTAATTGAGTCCAAATTTCCTTGTTACAATTTGTAGAGCTTATATCTTAATGATGAACACCAATGTTCTCATGTACCTTTTGTTTTACTATAGATTTGTATCCTTGTTGTGTTTCCTTTTTTGGTAAATATTTTACCAATACTTAGCTTTCGTGTATTCTCTTGTATTTGTGGTCAACAATTGGGGGAAATGATCAATACTATGTTCAACAATTAGGATGCAAGTTATGGATTCTACTGATTCTGCCGAGGCAAGGTTCAGTGTTGTTTTTTGACCAAATCTGCAAATCTCGTAGCCTTTAAAGTTTAAACAATTGTTCCATAGGTTCAGTGTTGTTTTTTGACCAATTGTTCCACACCGTGGAGGTGGCCTCCCTCCACGCTGTTGTCCATGCCAAAACTCCGCCACAGCTTAACACGTTGTGGCACTTTGTGGAGAATGCAACGCGATGGGGTGAGAAGAGTTAACCGTTGATTGTCAACTTTTTCGTTTTTTTTTAAATAATTATTTTACTCATTTTTAACCTATAATACATGGTGTGGTGTGTGATGACCATTTCCTACTAAAAATGGTATGGTGTGGAGAAGGATCTCACATGTGATGCGACAAAAAAATGGTGTGGAAGGTGTGAACCATACCCACCGGCCTTATAACCATTATAAGGTGTCATGGTGAGTCTGGGATTTGGTCAAATTCTATAATTAACTAGAGTTTATAATAATAATAATAATAATAATAAATATTATTACTATGACAATTCTACAAACAAGACCTTAAGGTTCAAGTATGTGGGGATTTGAATCTCAGTTAACTTTTTTGGGAGTGTTTCATGTTAAGTGATCACCACTACGCCACCTTGGTGGTGGCTGATTATTTTCCCTAGTTATGTGATCTGATAGGTATTATAGAATGTTATGTTGTATGAACATACTATAATAATTGGTAATTGTGTTTTGTTTTGAACTATAGAATGTTATGTTGTGTGAACATACTATAATAATTGGTAATTGTGTTTTGTTTTGAACTCTTTCGGCTAGTAACGATTGCATTAACGAAAAACACAAACCTAATTGAGACTTGAAGTTGTTGCAGTCAATTTAGAAGCTTGTGTATGTGTAAGATCTTACACGTCGTTCCTTGTAAACACCTAATATATTAAAAACATGACAAAATTGCAAAAATGGTCCCTATGGTTGGCAAATTTATATGTTTTTGGTCCATAACAAAATATTGGTGCACCACTAGTTCAAAATTGGATGTCTCTATTAACATAAAAAGATTATTATACCCTTATATTTGTTTTTTTAAATTTTTTTATATTTATTCAAATGTTTTTTCATTAATTAAAATTGAGAAAAATTTTCTCTCTCTCTCTCTCTCACATGTGTAACCCACAGAAAAAAGAAAAAAAAAAAGGTTGACATCCTTATCCACCCAAATTTTTATCATCTTCCTCGCTAACTTGACGGTTACTACCATTATCATCCCCTATTACCTGTAAATCAGAAATCAAGGTAGAAGTCCATGAAATTGGGGTCAAAGTTGTTCCCATTTTTTAAGAACGCTATAAGTCAAGGTTCAAATTACGCAAATTTCCTTTTTTCTATCATTTTTGCATGTCTCATTCATTCTTCATCTTGATTAACGATTAAATCATTCAAGTTCCAGATATGATGTGATCTTCTTTTGGATCGTAATCGGTACTATCACCACCATACACCACCAAACTTGAACTCCATTGCAACCATTTTATCATCACCCCTTCTAATCATCCCTCCTCATCTTCTTCTCCCATGTTCATTAGCGTGGTCACCACCTCTAACGCCACCCACATCACACACCACCATAACCCACCATACTCGTAAACCAAAACACATCTGCCATCAAAAAAGATTTAAAAAAAACGAGATTGATTCAGAAGAGAGAAAGAAGAAGAGGTTGTGATCGAGTTTAATAAAAAAGAAAAAAAATGAAATACACGCCTTAACCTCTTCTTGATTTACCACAGAAATCCGATCAGCACCACCAGACTCACCATCCTAAGCTCATGTGATCTGAATTGAAGAAGGTGTGGTGAGAATCGAATCACAACATAAAAGAAGGAAGGGAGGATCGTGGTTGTTGTCGATTGAAGCTAGAACAAGAATGAGAGTACTTACGATTGTGAGAGAAGGAAGGGGTGCATCGATTTCAGATCTGAGCTACATGTGATCTGAAAAGTTTGTTGATGAATATAGATGATTTTTTTTTGGGTGAATGTTTGGGGGGGGGGGGGGGGGGGGATAAGTGGGGTGATATATATTTTCTGGTTTTTTTTTTAATTAACGGAATTACAATTCAATTAAAAGATATAGAAAAAAAACAATTTTAAGGGTATATTAGTCATTTTAGGGTGGGGTATAGACCAAAATCACACAAAAATGCTAAACATAAGGACCAAAATCACACAAAGTATCCGAAATTGGACAACCAAGGCACCAACAAACTTTTTAGACCAAAACCACATAATTTTGACAAGCACGAGAACCATTTTTGCAATTTTGTCTAAAAACATAGTTTTACTTCAATTAAGTACTTCAAAATTATTTTTGCGTTCATCCAATGACTCACGTGGATTATCATGGGATTTAAAATCAAGGTCGGCCAAAACCAAATTGAGGCTCCAGGAAAAAGAAAAAAATGTGGCCTTTAAAATTTAGAAAATTAGTCTTTTTTTTAACAGCAAAAAAATTAATATATTAAAAGGCTAGCTAGCAAATATAAAGAAAAAAAAAAAAAGAGAATTATCTTTAGAAAAAATTGCAAAAATGGTCCCTGTTGTATGCAAATTTTTGGGGTTTTAGTCCAAACCACGATTTTTTTGGATTGGTGATTCTTTTGAGCTAGTTTCTTTGCGTTTTTGATCCCTCAGTAAACTGAAAAGACTATTATGACCTTCTGATATATTTTTTATGCTTTTTCTATTTAATTTAAATGAAAAATAAAATAATTACCTAATTTGGGGCCCACCTCTCTCTCTTTCTCTCTCTCTCTCTCTCTCTCTCTCACACACACACACACACACACACTCAAAGGAAAGCACGATAGATCTGTACAAACATGTTAATGTCCCTGTGACCTCCTAATACCCCCAACCCCAAATTTGAGAACCCCAATAAAAGTAGAAAACAACGATCGATCGTTCGTTCTTCAAGCTTCCTACTCTAGGAACCGAAGTTCCACTCGTTGCTGATGAATTTCTTCTTCTTCACCCATCAAACGAGCCATGTGATGAATTTCTTCTTATTCACCCATCAAACAACTATAGTGAGATTCCCTAAGTGATTTGAAAGTCCCATTACCCATCCTCTGTTTGAATCTTTGACTAATTGACTTCTAGCTTCCAAACCCCAAAAAAATCCAGAACCGGTCCTAGCTTTCACAGTGTATACAGAGAGAAATAATAGATCTGCTAATCCCCTCATCATTTTGCAATCAATGTAGAAACTGGTGGCAACAAGTCTAATAAAATTAATCAAGAACAAGGTAATGGAGGTGGGTATGTAAAGAAGATGATGCAGGAGGTGATGCCTGGTGGTGTAAGGTTTGTAGAAACGATGGAGGTTGATACAGAAGGGTAATTGAGGTGCATAGATGGATATGGGTCTGCAAAATTCTAGGTTTGTAAATTGGGAACCAAATCTCCGATTGTGTGGTGTATGTATATGCATATGTGAGGAGAAAATGGGTAATGGATGAGTTGGGTTTGGATTTTTGAAGAAGATAAAGGTGTTTAAGAATTTGAGTTGCAGGTTAGATTTTAAGTTTAAGCACTTGGTTTTGATTTGAGGTTAGAATTAGATTTTGTCACACCCCAAAACCAAGAACGGTGGAAAAGTTCTGGGGCGGAGGACGTCATGTAAGTATCACAACACAGTAAATGTAAATAAGCAAACAACATCATCCATTGCATTAAATATATAATTTTAATACAAGTGTGTTCTGTACATTATAGACACCAAAAATAACGTATATCAAAATAATAAGATGAGTCTTGAATGCGCTCCATCTTCTCAAAAGTTGGCCTCGGTACCTGTCTACTGATGACCTGAGAATACAAGTTATTTTGAAAGAGTTTATCAGCATTAAGCTGGTGAGTTCATAAGTATTTTAGTGTCTGTATTTGTCATTCAAAAATGTTTGAACATGTATCAAGTATAAGTTTGTAAAATGTATGTAAAAGTTTGCAATTGCTTGTAAAAGTTTGAATCTCTCAGAAAAACCTATATTTTCTATTAAAGAAGCCTTCTACCAAGGCTTGTCTGTTTTGTATTTTCGTTTGATGTAAAAGTGTGTAATTTCCCAAATGTAACTATCATTTAACAAAATATAGTTTGTACATAAACGTTGAAGTGAGGTTATCACTAAAATATGTAATGGGTAAATTAATGTAGTACTGTAGCCTTTGTATTATAAGACTACTGCGGTACTAACTACCTTAAACCGGATTTATATTAAGGCATTACGTGATAAATTGCACCATACTATTGACTAGTAACAACGACAAATGAATGGTCGTAATAACGGAATGATGTTTGGCACCCGCAGACCTGCAGGTCCGCCTGTAGCTAGCAGCAAGGTGTAGGATTGTCAATCCAGTATAAATCTATACGCAAACTCAACGCTCTCCCTTCAAGAGAATTCTGGCTACAACTCGAGCCATGACAGTTAAGTCATGCTCCGATTTAAATCACAATAATAAAGTATTCATGTATATGTACTGTTTCTCGTTCTAGTATATATGTATATGTATTGTTTCTAGCATCATTGTATATGTATTGTTTCTAGTATATGTATATGTATTGTTTCTAGCATCATTGTATATGTATTGTTTCTAGTATATGTATATGTATTGTTTCTAGCATCATTGTATATGTATTGTTTCTAGCATCA